GAGAGTGGCCTCCCAAAAATTAGATTGTAAGCCATTTCTAATTTTCCTTCCACAAATTAAATTGAGTGGATAACTTGATGGGTAATTATATTATGAAAATAATGCCTTCAAATTTGATGAGCTAATTGTCAAAATCATACAGCAGGTTAATAGCAAGTTGGAATTTATTTTTGGCAAAACCAATATGCCTAAAGAAGGGCATCAATTGAGCATCCATTGTCAATCAAACTTAGCTTTAAATTAAATTATGGATCACCTATACCAACATTAAGAACAAGGGTGGTGTCTTCATAAGGAGCAAAGAATCTTTCCAAATCAATATAATCAAATCAAATTGAATTATTCAGTGGATATTTCGTTTTGGCTGTCTCTTTTAAGTTGACAAAGAATATGGGCCACTGTTAATAGTCTCAATTTCTTCCACCATTGAGTGAACCCATCATCGATTTCATGGAGAGGTTGCTAAGCATAGTGGTTGTTCTATACTTATTGGAACTAAAAACTTTGAAGAAAGCAACAAAGATAATCCTAGCATACAACACATTCAATCTCCTGTGTAAGCTAAATGCATGCATTTGTTCAGTAACATCAATCGGAGCACACATAATTGGGTTTGATCAAGACAATGTTTTTTTGAGGCCGAGGCCTTTAGCATCATTTTCAATGTCCCGGAGAATATTGGTGTATAATGTACTCAAAGGATACTCATGTGACTCTGCAAATATAGAAGGGTAGATTGTTTCCTCACTTTATCTATGTCGATCAAATCCTTGTCCCTCTTATTGTTATTATGCGTCCCAAAGTGTATGCGAGAATTGTCTTATCAATTATAATCTTTGATTGCCTTATCAACAGCAATTTGGGCTTCAACATGTCAAATGAGTGTAAAGCAAGATATCCTTCATAAGAGTCCAAAAAAATGATCTAAGACAGAAGGCTCCAAAGAAAGCTCCATAGAGGAGCTTGAAGGCTAAGAGAATTGAAGTTCTATCAGGGAAAAATAGTTAAGGACAAGAGAATTCCCCGCCCTCTCACACACACCCCCTTACCAATTAGAGAAGATTTGCATTACTTAAGAACGGGTATTGCATGTATATGGATGAGGCATATGATGGATGATCAAACTACCTTATCTTCAGGATATATATTGGACCAAAATAAACTTCTGTTGAGAAAAGTTTGGTCATATGGTCATTGGAGGGCATCACAAAACTATCATCGAGATCTGAGTTGGGCTATCATGCTATCTAAATTGATAAATGGGTTGATGAAGACCTTATGCTTTGATAAGGGTGCAACCAAAGATCTAGATCAAGGCGCCATTGATTTTGTGCTTGGGGCTTTGATGGTGTAGATTTAATGAAGGAGCCTTCGTGAATCTTAATGCAATCAAATGATATAGGAGATAGGACTACCAACACTGCCATCACTAAATGTGTGGGAACCAATAATGTATGAATATTGATCATTTTAATCAAATGGTTATAATTAATCAAGAGTCCAATGCATTCTAGAGACACGTCATCTACTATGAACATGATTTTTCATCTCAAATTGTATTATTACCTTTTGTTTGTCATAGTCCTTAAATTACTCTTTGTTTTGAAAATGACCTAGAATGAAGATGCGAGCAATTACCTTATTTTTTGTACTGATGTACGCTAATCCTTCTTTTCCATCTATCTTTTAACATAACCAGATATGGCTTTTACATAGCTTGTAGAAGAGAAAGATTGTAGTTAAAAAGCACATTATTAGTCATCTACAGAGGCAAAACCGAATTAATTGTTTTAGAAAAATCCCACATTACAACGAACATACACATTATCAAAAGCAATATCATAAGGAGTTGAGATGCAACATGAAAGAATATCAATGTGGAAAACCAAAATCGATTTGTTATGTAATCATAACATGATAAAATATAGGAGAAATTATACTCATATAACCACAATGTCATCATCATCACTACAAGCCTCAGTCCCAGCTATTTGGGGTCAAACAACCACAATTCGAAATTCATATAAAAGAGCGTAGCAAATGTTCAAAGTTTCAATACTCAAAACTAACAATGTTTCCAACACATCAGGGGTTTTTTATAACAACACACACTCTTGGGGGACAATTTTTATGAACTGATCGTACGGGACGAACTTTGTTCGTACGGGACGATCATGTAAATTAACCCTCAGAAGAGCAATGGATCGAACAGGCGGGGAGAAAGTTTTCTAAGTCCTAATCGTCCAGAACGAAACTCTCGGGATTCTCACTCGCAATGTTCGTCCAGACAAAAAATAAGGTTCGTACCAGGACGAAACTCTCTGTATGAGATCGTACAGGACGAAATTAATTTTCGTACCTGGACAAAACTCTCTGGATGAGATCGTACAGGACGAAATATATTTTCGTCCCTGGACGAAACTCTCTGTTTACAATCGTCCCAGGACGAAACCTGTTCGTCCCAGGACGAACTAAACCGACTTACGTCAGTTGGTTACGTCCTGTAGAATTTATGGAAACCAACCTATGAAATAACCGTTTCATACCGGACGAACATAGTTCGTACTGGACGATCAGCGTGTACGAACATAATTCGTACCAATATATATTAGGTTCGTTTCCGGCACTTTAAGTAAAATCATCCAGGACGATCACTGATCGTACGGGACGATACACTGCATACAGAATTGAAAAACTTGCAGTTTTTGGGCAGTTTTTCTTGTCTTTTGTATATATAGTTCAAATTAGACTGCTACCCAATCTTTTTGCTATTTGATCTTCGTGCCTATTGAAAGAAAAGTCAAGGAGAGAGTGTGAGAGAGCATTCAAAGGAGGATTCCTACCACTGGAGCGTGAAGGCTTCACTTGGTGTTTAAAGGTAAGAATATCTACTTGTGATTTGGGATTACTTCACTCTTTTCTTCCTTCTTTCTAGATTTCTTGTGAGAACATTTCTTATGAACTACTTTTACATTCAGTTAAAAGCATAATAAATGAATTGTTAGAAACTTAGATTTGTGGGTGTGACCTATTGAGTTTCATTGGCTCACACTTATTATGTCTTCTATTTCAAGTCAGGGCAAGAGGAAAGAGTCAGTTGAGTAGTTGAGTGTTCATGATCTGATTTGTATGAGTATGTATAGATATTCTCCTAATTTTTTGTATAGTCTATGGCTTTTTTTTTCTATATTCTAATTTATAAAGCCATGCATTGTATTCTAAATATTGTGTTAACATTTTAATGAAATTATAGGAATTTTGGATGAGTTTATTCCATAATATTTGTTGAAGTTAATTAGAAGCTCTGTGGTCTATGTAAATCTAAAGAATATATCTGATTAGTTCCTCCAAAACTTAGATCCTTGGATTGGCATGTCCCAAGTCAACATGATATGACCTATCTAGCTATGGATCATATCGGGTTGGGTTGTGGCATACTCCTTAATTGTTAAATATTATGTTAATATAAATAATGCTTTAGACATTGATATATATTCATTGGATTTTGTTATGTCTGAGTTGAGATGTCCTAACCTAATATGATGTAATAATCTAAAATTGTGTAAATAATTTTATAAATAAAATTTTGAAAAGTTAGAGCTTGGGCGTTGTGGCGCTGTGTATACAAGCGCAGCGACTCTGAGATTGTTGCAAAGCAAGGAGAGTAGCGCCCGGCTTTGAACTCTCAAGTTTCTTAAAAGAAGAATTAAGTTATGAGTGACTGTTACGTGGCCTGGGCGGTTCTGTCGTGGTGCCTGGTTTCATGCAGCGAACAATGCGGTGTTGAAAAGTTAAGTGTCACAACGCTATATCAATTTAATGGTTCATTAAAATAATAAAATATCTTGATCTATTTCTTAACCCCATTACCCTAGCCATTTCTCCCCTTTTTATTCGACTTGTTAGGTACAAAAAAAAGAGAGGAAGAGGAGAGGAGTAGGAGGAGTATGAGGAGGAGAGAGAGAGAGAGAGAGAGAGAGAGAGAGAGAGAGAGAGATTGCACAAAGCATTTTTATCCGCAAGTTCTATTATGAGATTTCATCTGATCATGGTAGGTAATCTAAATCCTATCTTTATCTTCAATTATTTTGAGTTCTATAATTCTGATATTTTTAAAAATTAATAAAAATATTTTTCCTATTGATTTATCAAGCTTTCACCATGTAATTTTTTGTATATGATAGATATAATTTTTGTGTGCATTTTGATTGTAATTTTATCAAGTTTCATCAAATAAATTGATAGTTATGATTTTTTTATGTTGATAAATAGTGTAAAGAATTTCTTGTCTTTTATAAATTATTGTATTTCATATATGATATTGAATTGTATAAAGAAAATAATGTTATTATTATAAAATAAATATGATATTTGCTTATAATTAAACAAGGCTGATTATGAACACTATAATTAATATGAATTGGTTATTAAAATGTAATAGTATGTACAAAAGGGTGGGCCGATGAGTTTTATTTAAATAAAAAAGATTTTATGGTGTAATTATGAATGTTAGCCTGTAACTAATTTACTGAATTACCGTAACACCCTAGAATCAAATTTGGATTCTATTTCAACATATAATTAATTTGTCAAAGCTATTAATAATCTATCAATATAATTCAACACATTATAAATAACTAATAATAAAATACATCAAAATATAAAATTATGCTCATTCCTCAAAATTCATGAACAATAATTAGGCTTTTATCAATACATCAATCAATCTATTAATTCATTTCTGATTATAAAAGAATAAAATAAAATACATTAAAAAACCTTAATCCATATCAACCTCTCTCTACTAGTTCTAGGCCCCTTCCCTAATCTGAAATCAATAACATCGATAGAGTGAGCTAACAACACAATAGGTTACCATAATTTACCACTAAAATTAATACAATGCAATAGAAGAAGTATATATGTAATCATTCAAATCAAAATAATATGAACATGTAACTCTAAGAACAGATAATGAGTAACTAATACCGCCTTTTAAGTTAACCCTTCCTAGCACAGATAACTAAAGTAAACCCGTCGGCATCTGAGTTCCTCATCCTGGCATCTTCAAGGCTCTCCCAGTCCTCCAGCGACTGCGACGAAGTCCCCGTCGTCCACGACCGACTACTACTGCCCTCACTCCAATTTCCACTCTTCCCAAAGTACCCCCACCCTCCCCTCTCCCGAAAGCTCTCCTCTTCACTATTCTCAAACCGTAATACGATCACCGCATCCCCATTCTTCGCCGGCGCCGGCGAAGACAACTCCTTTCCGCCGGATCCTGGCCTGAAAAGAAACCGATAAAGATCCCATGACACCTGGATCCGATCACCACCCTCCGCCGCCACTCTCTCGCTTCCCCTGAACTTCCACCTGAGCCGGTTCACTTGCAAAACCATCTCGCCGTTTATCGCCAACCTCATCCGCTTCTTCTCCAAATCAATCGAAATCAGTACTTCCCTCTGCTGCCCCCCAAATCGTGCCATCGCCGTCCACGATGTATTTCTTCCTATTTCCCCCAATTTCACCTCCGCCCTCTTCAAGATCGGCTCTGTTCCGATGTTGCCGCTCCTCGGCCGCACGGCTTTTATCCGCCTGTATGCCTCATTGCGGCGGTCTCCGGCAACCAATAACACCTTTTCGTCCACAGCGATGGCAAAGAAGAACCCAGCAGCTGGCTCAGGCCCGCATTCGCGGGTGAAGATCGCCCTTGAGAGATCCCAAACGAGCTCCACCGAGCACCGACGGCCGCCGGCGGTGTGCAAACGTAATCGCTTCGATCCCTTTCTTTTAAAAGGAAGAAGGATGGAGAGGCGGAAGTGGAGATGGTCGCTGGTCGAGTCAGTCTCGTCCTCCTCCGTCGGCAAATCTGATAGCTGGAGATCCGCGAGGAGAGAGAGACCGAGGAAGGCGCGCCGTTGCCAGGTGATGGACGCGTTGCCGAGGTGCGTCGCATAGAAGGAGGTTGTTTCGGTTGGAGCGACCGGCTTCGCGGTGGCGGAAGCGCAAGTGAAGCACGCCGGCGTGTATTTGAGCATTCTGGCAACTGTGACGACACATGGAATCATGGATGAATTAAATTTTGCAGTGGATTTAAACAGGGGATGATTGTAAATAATTAAAATTCTAAAATTTCGATTCTTGACCCGGAGTTGGACTGAGCAATGTAACAGAAATTTCGATTCCCTACTCGCACGACAAATGGAGTGGAGAGTCTCCGGTCCATTGTGCGTTCAAATTTCAACGCAGGGAGCTCCGGCCAGTCATACATCCTGTGAGATTTTATTATTATTATGTAAATATTATATTTTACGCAGCTCATTTTAGCCGGTTGGTTGAGAGCTCAGGCTTCCAACTAAGAGGTATTGAGTTCGAGTCTTTGTGTATGTGTTATGTGTGCGAATTTGTCTTAAATGGCCTAAATGTCCCAAAAAAAATTATATTTTTATTTAAATATGAAAATATAAATAAAGTAACACTGACATTGCCCTCTTTCCTTTAGTTTGATAACGTTAATTTTTAGTTTAAAATTTAATTAAAATCAATACAAAAGCAATAAAAACAACATAAAAATTTTATTCAACCATGTAGCGTCCATTATATGAATCTTTTTTCTCTAGTATGTTATATACCATCCAAAAACAATCTTGATCGAACACAAATCTCAAGGTGGAAACTTCTGAAATTAAATTTGGGATCATCTGAACTCCGATTTCAGCAAACTTACAGTCGAATTGAACGTCTCGAAAATACGAACCCAACGACATCAAATTTGACTCAATCTGAGCCAAAAATGGGTCCAAATCAAGGAACCGAAGCATTGTTGGAAGGTTCAAACCACAATTTGGTTTACCAATCCGTTTCCAAACGTGACAGTTTCCAAACATGACATGCTTATAGTCAAATCGAGTGGCTTGACGAGACAAGTCAAACTAGCCCAAGATCATTGAATTTTGATATCATTAAGACATTCAAATGATAAACGGTCCATGATCAAGGGATTCAACATTGACCATCCATCCAAATCACTCTCCATTTACCTTTGATCCTCCTCCTATTTATGAGTCATGCCACTCTAGGAAATCTATAAATAGATCAATCATTCCTCTTGAAAAGGGACACCTAAGCCTAAGGAAGAGAGAGAGAGAGAGAGAGAGAGAGAGAGAGAGATCGTCTTGCATCCTTGCCTCCTCGACCACCGCGGGAGTTCCACCGGGCCACCACCTGACGCCCTGAGATCCGTCAAACCACCACCTAACGCCCTAAGCTATGTCGGACCACCACCTGATGACCGGAATTCCACCGAACCACTACCTGACGCCCGAAGTTCTGCCGGACCACCACCTGACACTCGGAGTTCCGCCGGACCACCACTTGATGCCCGGAGTTCAACCGGACCACCACCTGACGTATTGAGTTCTGCCGAACTACAACCTGACGCCTGATTTTCTGTCGGACCACCACCTGACTCCCGAAGTTCTGCCAGACCAATACCCGACACTAGAGTTCTGTCGGACCACTACCCGATATCGGAATTCTGTCGGACCACCGCCCGACGCTGAAGTTCTGCCAAACCACCATCGGACTACCAACTGACGCCCGTATTTCTAAGTAATGCCGGACTTCCAATGGACCACCAAAAATCTTATGTTCTCTGTGTGTGAACTAGATATCCGTACAAGACTAAGACCTATGATTATAACTCTAAACAAAACTGATAGAATTCATTTATTATATTTCACATATAAAGGAGAATGATTCAAATTAATGTCATGATATATATTACATTAAAAAGTATTAAAATATTTAAATACAGATATATTATAATAAAATTCAAAATTTTAAATTTATATTGAAATTAGTATTATATATGATATCACCATTACTATTAGTGAATAACAATCACTAATACTATTAGTTTACAAACTATCGACAAATATGAGAAAATTATAAAAGTAAATAATGATGTATGTGATATCTCTATTGTAATATAACTGTAAATAACAATTAGTACAATCTCTATTAGTTTATAAATTGTATAAACAATATATGTTGTTTGTGATAGAGAGCCCTACATTGGGTACCCATACCCACACCCACACCCACCCATGTACTCACTCAATGGGTATGGGTGGGTACGGGTACTCCCATGGCCTTATGGGTGGGTATGGGTGGGTACTCAACATCGGGGGTTAAATCGATTTACATTGATAATCACCATATATCTTATATTAATGCAATCCTCAACACGTAGTGTGCATCACTTAACCATGCTGCATGCGACTACGGTAAATTCTGATACGTGTCTTGAAAGTTTACAATTAGAGCAAAGGGCAACAAGCCTCAAGGCCATCAGTTCGTGGCAAACTGCTTTCAAAAAGCATGGAAAGTTGGTGGGTATAGATGGTTATGGAATCCCGTAAGACATCATGAGTGGGTGTGGGTAGGCGAAGCCCGTCCGAGTAAAGCATAGACACCCAATGGGTACCCAACAAAGACCTCACGTAGGGCTTTGTTGTGATACCACTATAGTAAATAAGAACCATAATTTCTATTGATTTATGACTTTTCGCCAAACGTGAGAAACTGAATGAGCAGAATATGAAGTAAAATAAAAGCCAATCTGTTGAGTTAATGGAAGAGGAAGACCGCTACCGTTACGGCAGCAAAGAGAGATCTAGAAATGGTAGCAAATGGCAATAGGAGGAACCAACAAGGAAGGAAACCAACCAGCTACAAGACGGGCAAAAGACTTAGGAGGATTCCTGAACTACCATCCGTAAATGCTTGAAAGATTCTGAAGCAAACTTAAATGAATGTTAGGGTTCTCAAAATAATAAAATATTTTAATATTAAATATGATCTGAATTATACCGAGGCTAAAAGAGTCTTTCCCACCACATGATCTCCAGTACTGTTTTTGAGCACGAATCTTGATGCAAGTATTTAAATTAAAATTTTTGGAAACATCCCAAAGGTTATTTGATTTTTTTTTTCAGTGAATATATAGTTGAAACATGTAATTTTATGAGATGAATTTAACTAATATAAGACCATCAAATTCTAACATCATTAGAAAATATTAATAATATAAAAGTATTACATGTTCAAGTGGGATTAATAAGGATAGTTAGATTGAGTGTATTTTGATTTATGGTTAAAATTGTTAAATTATTTCTCTCTAGATATCTATAAATAGTCTTGCTTATGCGTACTTGGAGGAGGGAAGATGACACAAGAAGGATCACAGAGGTGAGAATTCAAAGCTCTATCTACCATTACCCAACATCCTCTGACCCAACATGAAAGACACTTTTTATTGATACTAATGCCAATGCTCACTGGCGTAATAAGGCAAGCTCACGTTGTCTCTAAAAAAGTCAATGTCCGCCATCGACACCAACAGTAACACCAAATGAATGTAGTGAGAAGGCTTTATGATAAGAGTAGTGATGGTTACAACAATAACAACAACAACAACATCAAGTCTTTATCCCACTACGTTGGGTCGGCAATATGAATCCTTTTTCTCCATTGTGTTCTGTTAAAAGTCAAATTATCGTTTAAATCTAATAGAGAAAGATCATTTCTAATGTTTTCTAACCAAGTCTTTTTAGGTCTACATCTCCCTTTCTTAACATAAGAGTGATGGCTAAAAATGATTAAGTGATTTGAAGTTCATAGTAAAATGATAATGAGTTTGAATTTTAGTTTGAAGGGAAAGACTAGACTAGCTCTATTTAGGTTAGTTTGGGATGATTTGTTTTAACCCTTTATGGAATGATCGAGTTTAATAAATAATTAATACGTTATCAAAAATTGCCTTGATTCAACACGAATCTTAAGGCATATTCAAGCTGAAAACTTCCAAAATTAAATTTGGGGCCATTCAAATTTTGATTTCAACAAACTTATTGTCAAACTAAATGTCTCAAAGAGATGAACCCAATGACACTAAAATCAGTCTAATCTGAGTCCAAATGGGTCCAAATCAAAGGACCGAAGCACATTTGGAATATTCAAAGCATAAATTAGATAATCATATGATATCCAAATATATCATGCTTATAGTCAAATCGAGCGGCTCAACGAGATAAATCCAACGAGCCCAAGATTGCTTAATTCTGACATTGTTTGGGAACATAAATGTTTGACAAATGTTTTATGATCGGGGAGATTAATATGGGCCGTCTGATGGAGCATTTCAAAATTTTCCTAGATCTTCTTTGCATTTATAAGGCACGTCACTCTCAAAAACTTATAAATAGAACCACACTCCTGTAGGATTGAGAATAACATTAGATATAAGGAAACCTAATCAAACAAAGCCCTTCTAAGTAGGATTTTGGTTGATTCTTATGGCTTCAAAATTTTGATAGATGGTCAGTTAAGGTGTAAAAAAATGTAATAGATAGATTTAGGAGAAGATTTAAAATAATAATAATATGCATAAAAGATAATTAATCAATTATATCAAAGTTAGTCATGGATGTGTTGCCTTGGTGACCCTTATATTGATATTATTGTTGTTGTCGTATTAAAATTTCTTGAACTAAAATTATTTTTACTAAAAAGTTACTTTATAAATAGTAAGAAACCCGCTCCGAACAAGGCCTAAATCTTCATTGACAAAGCTGAACGTAGGCTCTTGGCTTTCTGTAGCAGTCTAGTTAAGCATTTGAAACCTTGGTTAATTCATGCTTTGTTGGTCCTTCGCAGTCTATTCATAGAATAGCAGCTTAATTAATTACAGAATAACAAAATTATTTGTATTATAAACATATTATTTATGAATAATTTATTCTTAAAAATATCACAATTATTCATAAAACATTCTATGACAGCAGAACACAAATCAAGCCAACTTCCCCTTCCTTGCAAAGTTATCTACTTCTGTGATGTCAAGCATCTTCTCCAAGCCACAAGCCAGCAGGAACCTGTAATTAAAGAAGAATAATCAAAATTTAGAAAAGATAATTACTCGTTAATTAAATAATCTATGATATTTAATTGCAATTAGTGCAGAATTAGAGCATACTGATCTCTGAAAACTGTCGCAAATGTTTGGCAACCTCCAACAACTGAAGATTGCATATTGAGTGCAATATTTGGATTATGAACACTCTGCCGCATATGCACCCAACCATACTGACCATGTAGTTCATTAGAAATCTTTGACCTGCAATGAAACAATATATTTGGTTGGATATTACAGAATATAATTTAACTAAATTGATTTCTCAGTTATCCCTTCAATTATCAGATAATGCAAACATTTGAATGGACAGTCCTCTCAAATTACGACTATCAGTTTGTCAGCAAACAATGCTTGCCAGTTCTCACTAATTACAATATGAACTGAAAGTTTAATAAACCTGAGAAATCTTATTTTTGGCCGGCAAATTAAAGCTTCATTTGGAGCAGCTTTTTATTATAATATAAGATTTTTTTATAGTTTTTTTTACTGTTTCTTAAAGCAGTTTTTTAGTACAAAAAATTTAATTTTTTACTAAAAAATTGCTTTAAAAAGCAGTAAAAAAACGGCCCCAAATGAAGCCTAATACAACTACTACTTTTTAGTAAAAAAATATTTTCATTTAGAAATTTTTGTACGAAAAAGTTGCTTCAAAAAACAGTAAGAAAGCTATTCCATACAAAGAATAAATTTAATTTTTGTACTAAAAAGTTGCTTTAAAAAACAGTAAGAAACTCATCCCAAACGAAGCCTAAGACAACTACTTTTTAGTACAAAAACATTTTCAATTAGAATTTTTGTACTTAAAATCTTCTTCAAAAAACAGTAAGAAAGCTGTTCAATATGAATAATTATTTAGTTCAACATAGCAATGTGAGGATATCAAGGCTTTTTGTATGCTCCTAATTTCTTACGAGCTCAAAGAGGATGAATCAGTGGGTGATTAAACTAAGCCTTCTGTACTAAATAACCAATGGTTAAAGGCAACTATAAGATTCAAAATCTAACGTTTTTTGTTTTGGCTTCAGATGGGTAGGTAATCTTCTTTCTTTTAGCTATCTAAGCAATCTCTTCCTGACATTCATCCATAGGTTCTTCATATCATCTCTTCACAAACATAAATTTTTCTAGGAAACCTAATAAATATTAAAATTATTTTATATTATAAAAATAATAAAAACATGCCATAAAATAAGAAAAATAACTATATTATGAAACATAAAACAAAACCAGAAAAAGATTTTTTATGATTTTAAATTTAAATATTTTTTATATTTAAGTGAATAGTGAATACTTCTTCTTTTATAATCATAGATAAAATTTAGAGGAGGTTAGGGCAAAAGGAGAGAAGTTAGAAATTAGGATTCAAAAATAAAAAAATAATTTTATTTAGCTAAAATACCTTATTTCTAGTCATAATTTTAAAGCACGCAACAATAAATTGATCAAAATAGGAATCAAGCAATTCTTCAAAATCAAAACTAATTCACCTATTGTGATTGATCCAATGCAAAAACAGATTTAGGCTTCGTTTGGGATGGCTTTTTTATTGTTAAAAAATTTATACTAAAACTCCGTTTTAGAAAACAATAAAAAAGCCGTCCCAAACGAAGCCTTAATTTTAAAACATTGTAAATTTTAGTGAAGTTATTAAATTTTTTACTCTCTATCCCTATCTACTTCTTAGTCTCACCTTAAGGTTTTCTTTGAGACAGCTTTTTTAATGCTTCTTAGGCTTCGTTTGAAATGTTTTATTATTGCTTTTTAAAATGAAATTAGTACAAAAATTTAATAAAATTCTATTTTAAGAAACAATAAAAAAATTGTCCCAAAGAAAGCCTTAAAATGATTTTTTTAGTAAAAAAAATTTTGTACTAAAAATTTGCTTCATGCAACAATAAGAGCTATCCCAAACGGAGCCTCGGACTCTTTTGGGGCATTAGAAAAGTTAAATGATAGGCTTAATGTTAGAAAATTAGATTAATTATGCATTAATTACTTTGAAGTTAAATTTTTTACTCAATATAACTATAAGAACTGTTAGGCGTAAAAAAAAAAAGAACTTTTAGGTGTAGGGAAAATCATTTAAAAAACAAATCGAAGCTGAATATTATTCATAATCATACCTGTACATACGGGCATCGACGTCAGCTGGTTCATCGTTGGAATCAACCAAGCATCCATCGCTCACCCAACAGTCACCACACGTGTCCAGCTCCCACCCTTCAAGTTTCCCTTCCTGCTTCATCATTATTTAATCTTTTCTTAGAGCTTACGCAATAAATATAAGAAGACATTCAAACATAATCTAATTAAAATATTATATTGTTCTTCGTGCCTTTCTATTTCTTTTATAATAATTCAATTATACAATTTAAAATTTATATATGATGTTTCTAACTAAATAAATGAATAAATAAAGTAACTAAATATAAAAAAAAATGAAGAATTTATTTGAGATAGAGATAATTTTTTGTAAAGATGATTATAAAATTATGTGAGAAAATAATTTTTTAAAATTGATATAAGAAATAGCTTACTAGCTAGCCCAAAAATTATTTTAAATATAGTGAGAAAATAGTAGTCATAAAAAATTATGGTTGCAATTTGTAAAATAAAATTTTCTCAAATGAACATTAAAAGATATTGTGCTTGTTAGACTTCATTTGCGACTGCTTTATGATTGCTTATTAAAGAAATTTTTAGTATAGTTGTTTTTTTTTTTTAATTAGAAAGATGTTTTAAAAAGTAATGAGAAAGATTGGTTTGGATGATTTTCTTACTACTTCTTAAATCAGATTTTAAATTAAAAAAATTAAATTTTTGATACTACAAAATTGTTTTAAGAATAAGTAAGTAAACCGTCCAAAATAAAGCCTAAGCCTTGATTTCTAACCTCAACGCATTTCCTGAAAGCTTCCACAGCTTCTGCACCTTTCTCTTTAGCATACTTGGGCTGGGCTACTACATCCATCCTCAGCTCCACAGACTCAATTGGGTCTTCAAGATCTTTGATGAGGCTTCCTATTCCTTCGCTGGAACCAGCCAGTCTCATGCGAACCATCTCAATGATAATTTTTACCACCATGTATGCACCTTCATTGCTCACCATGAAGCATAATTAAGCAAACTTATTTAAGTTTTTTGCACTGAATCTCTGGGCTTTTTGTCAATAATTTATGGGAGAAGTTCTCAGAGAGTCGAGGAGATTGAAAATTTTGCTTAAAATATAATGAAAATACCTTAAGATATAAAAACCAGTGATCCACGGGAAAATTTTAACACTAAGCAAAGTTAATAATCAAATTAATCATTTAAGCATGATTAAAATTAAATTTAAAACTAGGCAAAGTTGTTTGTTGTCATGGCGACTTATGTTGAGTTGGCATAGATGAGTCAGCTAACCGTTATCTATAGACAAAACAGGATGAAAATGAGGAATGAAGCAAGTCGCACGGGCGACTTATAAGTCATAACTTCTTTCCCAATTAGCGATGTCGTGCAATAGGCGATTTACATAACTTGTCATTATGTTGTGTTCCTTCAAATGAAAACGGTGAAATGGTTATCTTACTCAGCTTTGCCTAGTCAACATAAGTCGCTCATTAAAGGGGCAACATTGCCTAGTTCTAAATTTTATTTTAATCATGCTTAAATGGTTAATTTAATAATTAAACATGCTTAGTGTTAAAATTTGTTCTTTGTCCATTTTAAGAGAGAGAGCAATTCATGAAGCTTACCGTCATCAAGAAAATAGTTCTCCTTGAGCGCTCCATGTCCCGTAGTCTCCATCATAAGGTGTGTTTCCACGCCGTCCTCGTTAAGCTGAACCCCCTTATCAATCACGTTCCGGTAGCCCACCCGGTACAAGCAATGCCGCCCCCCCGCCGCTGTGATGAACCGAGTCAACGATACGCTCGTCCTGGCGTCGGTCACCACCGTCGTGCCAGGACGCTCGCGGAGCACGATCGCCGACATGAGGGCAATGAGCCGGTCGCCGTTGACTTTGGCACCTGTCCTGTCAACCACCCCGCTGCGGTCAACGTCTGTGTCGAAGACGACGCCGAGATCAGCACCGTGGCGGAGGACGGCAGCGACGGTGAGAGACATGGCGGTGGGGTCTTCCGGGTTGGGTATGTGGTTGGGGAACATGCCGTCGGGTTCTAAGTTGAGGCTGCCGGTGGTGTCGGCGCCGAGCTTCTCGAGGACGTCCCAGGTGAAGAAGCCGCCGGAGCCGTTTCCGGCGTTGACTATAATCTGCATGTCAATGCCCACTACTAATGAAGCAAATAAAAATTTTACTCTTTTTTTTTTTCTTCATTTGCTCACAGGTCATGTTGATTCAATCATTCAATGTGCAATGCTCTTATATGATATATAATATATTAAATATTAATTAATATAAGTATGAAAGTAAATAAAAACTTTTCAAGCTAAATTATAGCTTCACGTACCTTGAAGCCACGAAGGGGAGTGTAGTAATGGGATGGATGAGAAATTCTCTCGATGATTGTGTCACGTAGATGCTTGGCGTAAGCGCTCATAAAATCCACGCGGGTGACCGGAGGCAGCGGCGCACCGCCGCTTCGGCCAAGACCCGTTTTTTTAAGAGCGAATTTACGAGCAGCTCGGTCGCAGATTTGTTCAACGTCGCCGGACCTCAGCCCTCCCGCCTTCGTGAAGAACTTCAGCCCATTTCTCGTGTACGGTAGGTGCGATGCGGTCAACTGCGGAGAAGATTTTTTTTTTTTTTTCAGTGAGCAAATACCATATGGAATATTAAGAAAACAATTTTGAAAAAACAAAATTATGTTAATATATTCCTTCAAAACTCATTAGATTTATTCATAAGTTTGTTATCATAATATGACGATTTTTTTTTTTTTTTTTTGTGGAAGTAATTATTTGTACCATTATGGAGGCGTCAAAGACAAACGGCGACAGAACAGTGCTCATAAAGCACGCCGGAGTTGTCGCTAATCCCATATCAAACACCTCGCACTTCCCCTTCCTTAGCCCCGCAAACACCGCCGCGCTCAACACCCGCCCCGAAACTCGAGGATCTCTCCCCACCGACACCCTCACCGAGCTTTCATTGCCACCCTTCCTCTCCGCCACCCACTCTCCAAAGCACTCGGCAATAGCCTCCACCACCAATGCCGTCAGTTCCACCTTCCGGCCCTTCTCGCCTTCCACCGCCACCCCACGCACGTCCGGCCCGTTCTGTAGCCGCCGGATGAAATCGCCGGAGGCTTCTTCTTCGATTTCATTTGTGGGTACGAGAGGCGCTCTCGCGGCGGCGGCGGCGGCGAAGGAGGCGTTGGAGCTTCTTCTTATGGTTCTAGGCCAGAGAAGCCGGTGGAAAGGGGAGGAAGAGAGTGTTGTCGTGGGTTTGGGGTTGAGGATCAAAGAGGTTGGAGATTGGGAGGTGGCGGGTGTGGCCATGAGTGTGGGAGAGGGTGTGACGATGTTTTTTTCCCCCTATCAGATAAGCCTGGCGATTTTCTCTGTGAGAGCAGAAGCCACATATGCGGAATAAAAAAATATCTCAGCATAATTCATTCAAGCATAAAAAAGAACTAAAAATATGATGAAATTCTATATGAAGAGAATTAAAATAAAAATATAAAGAGATTTTGTCATTATAAAATTTGTATATATTTATATCTTTAATATATAAAATTTTGTATTTATTTAAATGTCATATTAATATGTAAATAACATCAAAAAATTATGTATAATACATATACTTATATAATAATAAATTAATATTAATGATATTTTTAACGATTTTGAGATTTGATAGTCATATAGGACTTAGATGTTAGATATTGTTGCATCCTGGAATATTCGCGGCGGTAGAGAAATATATGGTTTAACGTCTTAGCATTGTACGAAGATCCAGCACACAAGCAGATAAGAGAGGGTGTAGCATTCATAAGAGACACCAGAGTTTTTACGTGATTTTTCCCCCCTGGAATATTCGCGGCGAGAACTAATAACAAAATTTAGTATTTAAATTTGATAAAAGGTGAGGGCCTCAGATGAAGACATCGGGCCTGAACGTCGGGCCTTGAGCAGAATGTCGGGCCTGAACGTCGGGCCTTGAGGTGGTGGTGCAGCGAAACTCCGGCGGTGGTCCGGCGAGGCTCCGACGGTGGTCCGGTGAGGCTCCTGCGGTGGTCCGGCGAGCTCCAGCGGTGGTCCGGTGAGGCTCCTGCGGTGGTCCGGCGAGCTCCAGCGGTGGTCCGGCGAGGTTCCGGCAATAGTCGAGGAGGAGCTTCTTCCTTCTCTTCTCCTCTTCTCTTCTTGCTTCCTCCTCCCCCCCTTTTCATGAGGAAATGGAGTTCTATTTATAGAATTCTTGAGTGGCATGGCTTGAAAATAAGTGGAACATCAAGGGTAAATTTGGAGTGGTTCGAATGGACGGCCGATCTTGATTCCTATGATCATGCACCGTTCAATGAATATTTGAAGGTCTTAGAGATGTCGGAATTCAGATATCTTGGGCTCGTTGGATTCGTCTCGTCGAGCCGTTCGATTCAAGTATAAGCTCGTAAAAATCGGAGATCGTTTGGTAACTCAAACAGTATTATGAAGCTTCCAATAGCACTTTGGGTCCTTGATTTGGACTCATTTGGGCTCGGATTGAGTCGAATTTGGAGTCGTTGGATTCGTATTTCCGAGACGCTCAGTTCAACTGTAAGTTTGTGGAAATCAGAGTTCGAATGGTCTCCAAATTAATTTTTGAAGTTTCCAACTTGATTTTGCATCGAGAATCGGAGTTCACGTGCTCCTGAATTTAATTTTTGAAGTTTCCAGTTTGGGTTTTGCCTCGAGATTCGTGCCCGATCAAGATAATTTCATGATGAAGTATCAGATATATAAATATATAAAAATTTTATAGTACAAATATAAATTCTCCTTTATTAAAATAGAAATTTTATAAAAATAAAAATTGTATTAGGATATCTTGATACCACATATATAATAAGTATGGGCATTAAAACTATTTGAATTGCATTCATATTAGTATAAGAGCTTAAGCTTAAGATAAAAAATTAAGGGAAGATATCCTAATGCAAAATAAATTATGATAGACATCAAAACTTCAAATTTAAGTTTTATTTGGAATAAATTTTGTATTGATTTCTTTTTATATCGCAACTATAATTTTTATCTGATCATTGTTTCCAATAATATTTTTTTGCTAGGAAGTTATTTTTTCTGAACAACTTTCTAAAAAACCTATTTTCTATGCATATATTAACTTTACAACTATTTATATAAAAAGTTGCAGATATCACAAACATATCCTTATAATAAAAATTAGTTCAATTTAGAATATCATAAACATCACTAATCCCAATATAAATCTAAGGATTTTGATGTCCATCCTAAATATGTTTTACATTAAAATATCTAACATAAATTAATGTGCTAGTATTTATCTTTGAATTTGATGGTTGAAGATTCTTTTAGCCTTACATGTGATTCAAATGTGGATAGATTGTTTCTCTAATTAATACGGGTTTAAGAATTAGTTTTTTAATAAAATAATAAATATTTTATCTACATTATGATTAATTAATAAAATATCAATTTTTAAAGATTTAAAAAATTGAGATGATAAAAAAATCATATTAAATATTAAGATGATTGATACGAAACACAAGATTAGTATAAACTATGATTGATTAAGTGGGCTGTCTACTTAATTGTAGCTATCCCACCGTATTATTAAAATAAAATTAGAGCAATCTTTTATTAATTCTAATCCCTTTAAAGCCGAATGAACTTTTTGCATGTTAAAGGCTCGAAGTTTTGCACCGTAAAATTATTGAACTTTGATTTATAAAAAAATAGGTTTAATTTCAAAATAGTCCTCCAAAAAGTATTACATAAATATACAAAAAAAAAAGATTCATCCCACTATAATTAGCTATGTAGTGAATGAATTAAACTAAGGTTTCGTTTGAGACAGCTTTATTTCTATTTTTTAAAGCAACTTTTTATACAAAATTTTTTAATTTTAAACTAAAAACCTTTTTAAGAAGTAGAAAGAAAGCCGTCCCAAACAAAATCTAAAGCTTCATTTGAGACGGCTTTATTTAATCCTTCTTAAAGCAACTTTTGAATACTACAACAACAACAACATCAAGCCATTGTCCCACTACGTGGTATCCGCTCCATGAATCCTTTTTCGTCATTGTGTCATGTTAAAAGTAAAATTCTCATTTAAATCTAATAAAGAAAAATCATTTCTAGTATTTTCTAACCAAGTTTTTTTAAGTCTACCTCTATCTTTCTTAATATAAGTCAAATCTAATACCTCAACTTTCCTAACCGGGTCATCGGAAGATCTCCGTTTAATGTGACCAAATCATCTAAGACGACGAATCTTATCTTACCTTCCACTGGAACTATTAAAAAAAATTAATTTAAGAAACAATAAAAAAGACGGTACATAACCAAAAAGTGACTACTACTGAAAATAACTACAGCCCAGTTCTCAAAAGAAAGATAAAAATATCCAATTCAACAAATGCATCATAAAAAAAAAAAAATAACAATGTATGATTAGTCCATGAAAACGATCTGCAAAACAATCAAATAATCTGCAATTTGGTAATCCCCTACTATTATATACAGTATGAACCACCCGATAACAAAAGGAATGGCAATCAAAGATCTCTATTTAGCCTATGAGCTTTTGGAGCTTGGAAGATCAACCCACCGCAACTGCAGCTCAATTTCACCACATTCAACGTTTCTCAGCCTGAGAACAATGTCCTGAACAACCTTCCCATTCAACAAGTAGATACTGCTCTCCCCAGCAAGGCAATTTGCCCTCGTAGAAGCCTGCTTCCTTAAGACGCTGCCATCAGGAGGAGGATCACCTTTTAAGTCCATCTTCACAGCTTCAAAAAATGGTTTTATGTCGAACTCCGCATCGCCCATCGGATCATCTGCACTGAATCTATCCTTGTCGTACACTTCCTGGAATTACAAATCAAGAAGAAGATTGCTGTTTGTAAAAATTAACATGAACATCATAAAATCCTTTCAAACCATCTAGTCATGTTTAGAAGCTGATGAAGAGAGCAGAAAATGCGAAGGAAGATGAAGAGCAAATCAAGTTTAAAGATGAGATTGTTGTACAAAACAGCGGAAATAGCCATAAAACAATTCACAATAAAGCATGACAATTTACGTGATTCGGCGAAGAAATTGCCTATGTTCATGGGGAAGGGATGATTTTATTATAGTGGAGAAAATATGATTACAATTGGCTCTCTCTTCTACAGCTCTTAAATCTTTATTTATAGATTTGAAACAAAACAAAATAAGAAAGACTAATTAATGAAAATCTAATCATGATAATTAAATCTCCCAATCAGTGCAAATTAAGGCTCCATTTGGGATGGCTTTCTTTATGCTTCTTAAATTAGCTTTTTAGTACAAAAATTTAAAAAAAAAAATTACTGAAAAGCTGTTTTAAGAAGCAATAAAAAAGCTGTCCCAAACAAAGCCTAAATCTCCTAATTTCAACAGCAATCAGGGATCAATACAATTATCGGCCAAAAAATCTTTTCTAGTCTCTACCAAATTATATAAGGAAAGATTTCTACAACAGAGATGACAATTCAGTATTGACTAAAAATGTGATGGCAAAAATCCCTCACTGTGATTTAATTATTGCAAATGTGCCTAAAGATTTGTCAACTTGTTTACAACATTAAGAATGACAAGCTAAAAAAATCCAAAATTGAAGAAGATGCACTTAAGCATATTTAGCCAAAATAAATTTGATTAAAAAAACTTAAATTTTTTATGTACAAGAAAACTCTTAATTAGATAACCAAAAATCTAGTCATTAGACCTACAATAATTAGGTGAATTTCTTGATATCCAAAAACAGCGAATCTAGACCCCTCGTTTCACCACCTCCAAACATTGACCCACTCATCAGCTGCAAATGGACTTACTGCACCAAATACCACTCTGATGGCGCACTCGCCCGCCACAAGGCACACCTAGTTGCTCATGGTCACCACCAAGAATTGGGCATTGACTACAATGAGACCTTCAGCCTATTTGCCAAAATGCCATCCATTGATTCCATTCGGATACTTCTTACCATTGCCCTCAATCAACAATGGCCCATGCATCAACTTGACGTGGCTAATGCCTTTCTTCACGGTGAACTCTTTGAAACCATTTCTATATGAAGCAGCCCTGTGGATCTGAAGACCCCTCCCATCTGCATTACATATGTCCCCCGTATAAGGCAATTTAAGGCCTTAAACAGAATCCTAAACAATGTTTCAACACATTTTTCACTCATCTTCTATCTCTCAGCTTCAATCACAGCAAAACTGATCACTCTCTATTACTTTCTCCAAGAATTCCATTCAAATCTATCTCCTCATCTACGTCGACGATATTCTTCTCATCGGAAATAATCCAACAGCTCTAACCACTCTCATTCATCTACTCGGCCAAAAATCCACCATGAAACATCTAGGATCAGCTTATACGTTCCTTGGGATGCAATTAAAATAGTGCACCAACTCTTATTTCCTATCCCAGGCCTTATACACCACCTCTATCTTAACGCAAGCTAGCTACAACATTGCAATCCCCTCTCCAACGGTCCAACCCAACATCCACAAAACCACTGACCACTGCTTTCACCGATCCAATACTCTTGGACCCCCACACCTATCATCAACTAATGGGCTCTCTTCAATACATCACTATTACACGACCCGACATCACCTACTTAGTCAATCTCCTCTGCCAACACATGCACAATCCTAAACCTCCATAATATCACAACTCAAACGTCTCCTACGCCATCTCCAAGGTACATATTATGGCCTTCCTATCTCCACAGGTCCCCTGCACCTAACATCCTTCTCCTATGACAACTGGGCAAGCGACATACACTCATGCAAATCCACATCAGGTTATTGCTCCCTTCTCAGACATACCCTCATCTCCTGGACACACTGTGGTGGCTCACTCATCCACAAAAGCCAAATATCGGGCTTTGGCAGCCGCCACTGCCACCGCCGACATTCTTTGGCTCTGACGTCTCTGAACGACTTCAACATATCTCTCCCTCAACCGACCACTACCTATTACAACAACATGTCGACCATAGCCCTTGCCAATAACTCAGTTTTCAAGGTGTTGACCTCGATTTTGCCCAGACCCGGGCCTAAAGAGTTGACTTGGTCAAATTGACCAAGCCAGACCTTATGGCCCTCCCCATTGGGTTCAGTGGATCGAGTCGAGTCTGTCGAGCTCGAGCTTGGACCCTGGGTCAACCCGGTTGACCAAGTCAACCAGGGTTGACCAATTTAGACCTTTTGAGCCCAAATCAATTCTAAATCGATTCGAACCTACCCTATGGCTCAACCCATTGATTCCCTTGATTTTCTTGACTGGTTTGACCAAGTCAACCGTTGACTTGGTCAAACCAAATCTTTAATAGGTTAAAATAACCTATTTAGAGCTCATTAAGCCTCCATTAATGGATTTAATTGCTTATGAACGTTTTAGAAATCAAAATCCCGTGGGTTTCATGCTATTTCCCTCCTATTTACCTCTTGATCTCATCCCCACCGTCCAAGGCAGGTCAAGGGGTTTAAATAGTAAAAAATTAGGTCTTGTGGGGGATCCTTTTCCAAATTCTCGAGATCTAAGAGCTCCCAGCCATAATTTCTTTCGGAAGAGAGCTCCTGGATCTTCCCTCCACCTTCCCCGACCTATTCCCGGCGATTCCCACCCGCCGGCGACGAGATTCCGGCGGTCCGAAGCTAGATCCGGTCAAGGCTTTGATCCAGCAGATCCGTAGCTCGTTTGATCGAGGATTCAAGAAGGAAAACTTACGAGGACAGTCTACAAGCTCAACCGTGTCAAGAGTTCGAAGATCGGACGGTAAAATCTCGCGCAATCCCTTAGAATGGCTTAAACACTTAGATTAAAATAGCTCTTTGTAGGTTTAATTATTTTTCGAAATAACACTTCCCCGTGGTTTCTGTACATCTATAGGACTTAGGTTTAAAATTTCATCAAATTTCATCCACCCAATCGCGAGAACGAAGTGAAATAGGATTTAGGGTTTCGGTCCGGCGGGGCGAGCGTGCGTGACCGTTGATCTCACCGATCAACGGTCCAGATTGGCGGCTTCCCGCGGTTTGGCGTGACCGCTAGCCCCAGCCCGCGGTCCTGCATGACACATGGCGTCATCTGGGGCGCCCATCAAAACCGCGCGGATCGGACGGTCGTGGATGCCGTCCGACGTGGTTTAGTGGGGGACCGCCGCCGCTATCATGCCGCAATCATTGCGGCCAATGATACCACTACCTCTGACACGGCTACTACAACAAGCAACTCAAATCATCCTATAGTTCACTCATAACAAACCAAACGCATCTCAAGCATACACGTGTAAAGCTATACATTAAAAAACCAATATATATATATATATATACAATGGATTACACAAAAGGCTGTGATGAAAAGCTTTACATCAATACAAAAAGTTCTGTATGTTCTTCTTTCTCTTTATACTTGCGGTAATGTTTTCGGAAGCAAAATTACCAAAGCAGCCTGGGTCTTCAACATGTTGCATAACTGCCAAAGCAGCCTGGGTCAAATTTTATTAGTTTAATGGCTAAATTACCCTTTAATTTATCCGACAATGTATTTAATGTGATAGGTCTACCGGCACATATTTGATATTTTCCAAGAGAAATGATCAAATTGTCATGTCACCAAAAAAAGATTGCTCAATGAACTTCTTTACCAAATCTTTCAAGAGGATTTCTATCATTTTACCATCCACCACACACAAAAAAGGAGTAATATATTATCTTTCTTTTCCCCGGAAGTAAGCAGATTATATCATTCCAGTTGAGGAGGTTTTGAAGGACTTTTCAGAGTTTATAATCACTACTGTTTTTTAATTACATGCTGGTAATGGATCTAACAAATTTCATCAATTTTCAAAACGTGTTTTCTGACTTAAAGCAACCAAATGATCCCTCAAAAAAATTTTCAATATTGAAGAATACCAGTCCCTAAACATAGTAAGTCTTTTAGCAAAAAAATAATTCTAACCAACTTATAAAAACCTATATACCATAAAGATAGCACAAACCGGTTAGAATTAAAAAACAGGCTAGAGGAGATGTTGATGTTTACAATAGAAACTAAGAAAAACATTTTCAAGAATCCACTTGCATTCTCTAAGCTGTGATTCAAATCAGTGCATAAAGGTCAAGCATAAAATTTGATTAAAAAAATTAGGCAAGAATATCCGAACCAAAACACGATCGGAATGAGTTTTAAAATCTTTGAATTTGCTTTGTGTTAAGTACATTATAAAGATTATGAGAAAAAAATTGCATCATGATATGCGGACAGAATTCGCATAAGGATGGGCCTCCTTGCACTTAGATTTATGATAAGATTAGTACTACATATGATATCAAAGGGCTAGACCTCTCTGCATAAATCTAAGGGCAGTAAAGCCCATCTTGACATGAATTCCATCATGATACCCTAAAATATTTTTTTAATCCATGCATTGCACTCTTCTCAAAGTAAACTCAAAAGCTTTAAAATTAATTATGATCAATTTTTGGCCAGCTTATCCAAAATCAAATTTTCTTCCAATAATATTATAAAAGAACCATTATATCAATGCCCGAGAAATCATCATGAAAGCAATCTACAGAGCAGTTGTAACAGTTCTTGCATTTTATATTATATAAAAACAACCTACGATGGATATTCAGTGCCTCGCACTTACTTTCTAGAAGCATTAAATTTGATACTAAGGCCCTGTTTGGGACAGCGTTTTTAGTGCTTCTTAAAGCAGCTTTTTAATATAAAAATTAAAATTTTCTATTAAAAAGCTGCTTTAAGAAGCAGTAAGAAAGCCGTCCCAAACGAAGCCTAAGTATCACATAAGATGACTAGCAATATTATTTGAGAAACGCTCTTACCAACTTGACTGGGACAGAAGGATCTTCAACAGAAAAGGTCAACTCTTCATCCCATTCCGGGTTCACAGTCTTTTTTATAACTTGTGTCTTCAACTTCTGCACCAAAAAAAACAAAACAAAACAAAATAAAAGAAGAACAAAAAAATGGAGGCAAGAAATGAACATTAATACGGGTATAAAATAATGATTGTCAACACATTTAGTGCTCTGAAGGGATTTGTTCACATTTTGACATTTTCTCAAATCAGCCAAATAATATAAGATATTGGAGTAGCAAACAAAGGAAAAGCAACTCAAATGTATTATTTTACACGACACAGCTCAAAAAGTATAACATTTTATCAAATTCACTCAAATTTATGGCTTATCTTTCCCTCAAATTGACTGATCCTCATCTTACAAGACACGGCTCAAAAATTAATATTTTATTACTCAAACAAATTATTTCATCTGGCCATATCAAATCAAGGTCCAAGTTTTTCGAGATTAAAAAAATTATTACAGTACAAAATGAACATTTTTTTGTTGCTTTTCTTAACTTTTGATAGACATCACAGCACAAATGTTGCCTCAATCTTTGGGTCCTTCAAATGTAACTAACTCAAAAAATAAGGCACAAAAATCAATATAAATTATACAAATACGAACTACATTGAATTTTATTCTCTTAAAAGAGATGTGTATGTGAAAATCATGAGGTATCCAGGTACTCAAATATCTAAAAAGACCAAAAAATTCTTTTTTTACACGATCATCAATTTATTTATTGTTTCCTCATTCCCTAAGAATCACACTTGATTTAACTCTTTAATTCACGACCTCTCAAATAGAAAACTCACACATTCAATCTAAACATGTGAGAAATTTCTTCATTTATAGTGGTGGTGGCAATAGCTACAATGGGCATGAACATTCTTGTGCGCAAGTGGAGGAACAAGGACAAGAGAAGCATTAAGCCTCTTGAAGCAATTCAATGCATTTTGTCTGGTTCAACGCCTTGCTGCTGATAAGCTTGAATTTGCACATGTTGGTGTCATTGAACCAATTCAGTTCATTTTGATTATAAATTTTGAAATTTGGAGTTAGTTTAAAAATCAATATTTTTAAGTTTTGGCTCAGCTTTTCGATTGTTTTGTGATCTGAAATTTGCATCAAGATTTGTGCCTATTAAAATAGAAATTTTTTCTATCTATCCAATGGTTATAGTTTACTCCTTTTTGGAGTAAATCAGCCTCATTTTTTAAGTTGCTACTAGCGAAAACATGGCATAAGAGCTAATGTTCACTCTTAAGCCTTGTTCCTGCCAAGAGGAAATTATTAGCAAAGATTTCTTCCTTTGGACATCACTGAACCGATATATAACATTTGAGAAGAGAAGTATTTTTGTAAGTTAAAGCTTAAAAGCAAAACCTACACCACACGCTGGAGCAAAACAGGCACATGACATTGTCAGGAGAGTGGAGCAGACACCTCTACAGCAGAACAAATGAGCACCACGATCTCAACAAACCAAACTAATCTCACCCATACACATGGTAAAGTAACACTGCACTCACACATCTATATAAACACAAAGGCAAAGTAAAAGGAAGGACAGAATGTATTAACACCAGAATGGAAGTTTTACACTATCTGATTCTCTCTGCAGACATTTCCTTTCTTGTGTGAACTCTCTGTACTGCAACTATCCGTTCTTCATGATATCTTAACCGCTAGGCTCACAACCTCTATTCTCAATTACTCACTTTCCTTCCTCTCACGCCGCTAAGATATACACAGACATACACTTAGAAAACCTTCCCATTCCCTCTTCCCTAAACTTTCTCATCTCCAATATCAAATCCATTGTACCCACCCAGCTCTCAAATGACAACTAACCAGCGTGGAGATCTCAAATATCAAAGTTATTTCGAGCCAACAACTACGCAGGATTTCTCGACAACACCTCCACCACATCCTCCCGTATCATATAGCTCCCTGATGGAACTTCAAAACCGAATCCATCATACAATCAATGGATACTCGTTGATCAAAATCTCGTCCCTTTGCTCCACACTCACTCGACATTCTTCCATATGTCCTCAACCTGGATAAGTGCTTCAGCATTTGGCTCACTCTAGAGCGTCGACTGCAAGCTACTAACCGCTCTAGGGTAATCCAACTCAAGAACGAACTACATCACGTCTCCATGGGCCAATAGACTATGTAACAATATCTCACCAATGTCAAAACAATAGTTGACAACATAGCAGCAGCTAGGGGTGTCAATTTTTGACACGACCCGAAACACGACCCAAACCCGACCCGAAAAAATCCGGGTTAGAGTCAACTCGGACCCGAAACAGGTCGGGTTCGAGTTCAACAAATCAACCCATTTTAAAAATCGGGTCGGGTTCAGGTTGGCCCAACAACCCGAAATTGACACAAAAACTCCTATTTGACCCGGAAACCCAAGATTGACCCGAAAATCGAATATTGACCCGATTTTTTACCCGAAAATTAGCAATTTTAGGTCAACTTTGGGTCATTCGTGTTGGGTCGGGTTGATCCGGACCCGAATCAGATCAGATTTGGATCCGAAAACCTGACCCGTTTTTTAAAACGGGTCGAGTTCGGGTTGACCCGAATAGTGCCGGGTCAATTCCGGGTTCGACCCGAACCCGACCCGCTGACCCAAATTGACACCCCTAGCAGCAGCATACTCTACAATCGACAGTGAAGACATTTTACTATACACGCTCAATGGATTACCACCATAGTACCAAGCATTCAAAACCTATATTCGCACAAAATTGACACCTCTTACCCTTGAGGACCTTTACTCGCTACTCATCAACGAAGAAATAACATCGCTGCAAAATCCGCCAAAGAGACTGCAATCCCCAACATCCACATGGCTCTCTACTCCACTCGTGGTCGCGGACGTGGATGAGACGGATTCACCACCTTCACCAACCGTGGACGCTCATCAGAGCAAAATAGCAACATACAATACAACTCCACCACAATCACCTGCCAAATATGTGGGTAATGAGGACACGTTGCCAATCTATATTGGCATTGCCTTAACACTCAATATCCCACTCCAACTCTACATCCAACTTCTCTGATAGCATCCAACCAGCAATCCACCTTAGACTGGATCCTTGATTCAGGTGCCTCCTTTCGCCTGACCAACATCCTCGACAGTCTCATCCATCCAAAGGAATATTGCGGCTCGGACAACGTTGCCATTGGAGATCGACACACACTTTCCATAGCTCATTCCAGTTGCGGCACCCACTTGTAAGCTCCTACTTTTGAAAATACTTCATCTACCTCAATTATCCCACAATATACTCTCTGTCTCAAATCTTGCTAATGACAATAATCTCTCTATCATATTTGATTCCTCTGGCTTTTACATCAAGGATCTAAAGACAAACACAACTCTCCTCTTGGGACCTTGTCGTGATGGCATCTATCCGCTTTCGACTCCTCCCCATCACCACCAAAGTCAACAAGCCCTTTCAACAATTGTTCCCCCTGCGCTTCGCTGGCATCATCGCCTGGGACATCCTCATCAACAAGTTACAACCACTATATCTAAACAAAACAGATCTCTATTTATACCTCTTTCTACAATGCTCTGCTCTGCTCATCAGGTAAGAACTCTAAAGGTCATAAGCTACCTTTCTACATATCTACTAATCACTTTTATAAGCCCTTAGAACTAATTCACACCGATGTATGGGGTTCGCTCCAATTCCATTTACTCAAGGTTTCAAATACTATGTCCAATTTGTTGATGACGCATCTCGCTTTACTTGGGTCTTTCCTCTAATACATAAATCAGATGTCTATTTCACATTCATTAAATTTTATGCAACAATTGAGAAACAACTCTCCCTCAAAATTAAACATCTACCCAGTGATGGTGGAATTGAATTCATAAATCACAATCTCCAAACCTATCTACAACTATACGACATATCTCTACAAATAAGTTGTCGCTACACCCCCGAACAAAATGGTTTAGCTAAACTAAAACATCGCCACATAAGCGAAACCACACGAACATTACTTCATACCGCCCATCTATCTTACAATCTCTGGCTCAACATTCTCCTAACGGTAGTATACCTCATAAACTTAATGTCATCACCAAACACCTCCAATAAATCTCCACGCCGACTTCTCTACAAATGCACTCCAACATACAATCACCTCAAGGTATTTGGATGCGCATGCTTTCCGCTCCTACCACCTCATGCCCGCCATAATTATCTATAAAATCCCCCCCCCCATCGGTATTCATTGGCTACACCGCCTCCTACAAGGGTTACAAATGTCTTGATCCCACATCTGGTCGCATTTACATCTCCAGACAAATCACTTTCGATGAATCGACTTTCCCCTTTTCAATCCAATCCACCACATCACCTACTCCGACCACCATCTATCCTCCCAATCCTCAGCTTCTCTCCACATCTCTCTCTCACACCACCACAACCCAGTGTAACCAAATCCAACACACCACCTATCCAAACAAGTTCTAACTCAACCATCTCCCTTCCCCAAACAAACACCTCCCGTACACAATCATCCTCCACCATACCATCTCTTCCCATTCGTTTGAATCACCCCATGGTAACCCTTCTTCAAACAGGCTAACTCAAGCCACGCCCAACTACTAGACCTTCGCCACCAAATTACTACAATCCCCTCCGATCCCACCACATACGTAGAAGCTTCCAAACATCCTCATTGTCAAACAACAATGGCCTCTGAATTCTCGCCCTTCAACGACAAGGCATGTGGACCCTTGTTACTTCTCCATCGAACATAACCATTATAGGATCTTGTTGGACCTACAAAACCAAATATTATGTCGATGGCTCCATTGCTAGATACAAAGCTCGCCTTGTAGCCCAAGGCAATCGTCAAGAATACGATCTCAACTACACTAAAACATTCAGCCCTGCAGCTAAATTTCCCACCATTCGAGTACTTCTAACCATTGCCCTTCATTACAATTGGTCCGTTCATCAACTCAACGTAACTAATACATTTCTTCATGGTTCTATTCATGAAAAAATTTGCATGAAAAAATTTGCATGAAAAAACCCCGTGGCTTTGAAGATCCACAATCTCCAAATCATGTTTGCCTCTTTCAGAAATCTCTCTATGGTCTCAAGCAA